AATGTAAAAAACACTATTAAAAAAAAAGAAAGAAGCAGGAATGACCCTGACATCATATTCTAACTCAATGATGAGTGAAATATGGATATTTTCAGAATCACACCACGGGGAAACCCAAGACGCCAATGGAATCGGTGGAAGCTACACTAACCTCCTCTCCGGACCAAACCGGAATTACAACCAAATTATAGAAAAATCATCCCAAATAACCAAGTGGACTCTAGCTGGAGAGGAAAGGACTTGCAGAAGAAACCACTCCCCCACCACAAGACCAGTAGGGAGTACAGAGACTCCAGAGGGCTGGCTGGGCCCCCACGCGTGGCAGCTGGTATCTGAGCAGCCCCCTGGAAAGTGTAGGATGTAACGCCAAGCTGGGCTCCCCTCCCTAGGGCACCAGAACCAAGAAGGGAACCCAAACGACTTCCAGCTGTGTAGAGCAGGAGGGTTTCTGCCTGTCAGGGAGAGAGGGCTAGAGACCGGGGGCCTTTTAAAGGGCCAACACACCAGATTTTGTTCACAGCTGGGCTCCAGCAAAAGGGGGACAGAGTGAACTACAGGTGCTTGAGGACAGAGCCTGGGGCTGGGGGCCCTGGGGGGAGAGCTGAAAGGTCCGCCACCGGGCCCCCTGTGCTGGCTCCCTCCCCACGCTGCAGGAGCCATCTTTCCAGGGCGGAGCACGCCTCTCCCAATGGCAGCAGCCTGGGGAGAACCAAGAGCCCCGTCTCCAGGAATTGCTCTGCCTCAGCCTGTGGTGGAGCTTAAGCCTGGCTGCTGAGGAGCAGAACTGGAGGCTATTTCAGAGATCAAGCCTAACGGAAAACCTGTTAATACTCGCTGGAGGAAGTGAGCACATACAATGGGCTAAAGATAGTTTATGCAATAAGTAGTGTTGAAAAAATTGGACAGAGACACGCAGAAAAATGAAACTACACCACCTTCTTACACCACACACAAGAATAAATTCAAAATGGAACAAAGACTTAAATGTTAGACATGAAACCTTAAAAATCCTAAAAGAAAACATAAGCAGTAAAGTCTCGGAATTGCTTGTAGCAATATTTTATCTTATATCAGATATCTTATATCTCCTCCGGCAGGGGAAACAAAAGAAAAAATTAACAAATGGAGCTACATCAAACTAAAAAGGTTTTGCACAGCCAAGGAAGCTATCAGCAAAATAAAAAGAAATCCCATCAAATGGGAGCGCATATTCACTTATATATCTGATAAGGGGTTAACATCCAAATTCTCTAAAGACATAAAACTCAACACCAAAAAAAAACAAAACAAAAACCTATCCAATTAAAAAATGGACAAAGGGCCTGAATAGGAACTTCTCCAAAGAGGACATACAGATGGCCCATAGACATACAAAAAGATGCTCAACATCACTAATCATCAAAGAAATGCAAATTAAAACTGCAATGAGATATCACCTCACACCAGTCAGAATAGCTATCATCAGTAAATCAACAAACAAGTGCTGGTGAGAAGGTGGAAAAAGGGGAACCCTTTTGTATTGTCGGTGGGAATGCAGACTGGTGCAGCTGTAATGGGTGTGGAATGAGGTTCAGGACCCGGTGAAGGCTGAGGAGCCCCAAACCCCCCACAGCCAACGCTTGGGGGAGGGAGAAGTGGAGGAGAGCCCTTGGGAGTTACTCTGCATATCAATAACGGCTGAGGCACAGCAAACACTAAGAGCCAGGGAGATGGGCGTGACTGGGACGGGTGAGGTAGCTGCAGGGGCTTGCTGTGCCTGAACGAGATGAGGAAGACAATTCCACTATGAAATGGGTCCTCGCTTGCTTGGACGGCAGTGGAGAAAGGCAAAAGAGACCAGAGTACGTGCAGAGGTAGCCGGCTGTGGGCTGTGGGAGGAGTCGGAAATGGGGTTACAGAGAAGGAGCAGGGTGAGGATTTAAACTCAAGTGCAGGGCAGCCCTGGGTTCTTCACCAAGCAGCTTGGGAAGGGAAAGTCTCTTTGGCCGTGTGGCCTGAGGAGGAGAAGCAGCCTTGGCCACACGATTCTGAAAGGGTAAGAAAAGCAGGATGTAGTTTATAGTGAGGAAGGAGGCCAGGCGGCCTGGGGAGCTACAAAGGACTTCCTTGCAAGATCCTGTCCTTCTACACCTGGATCTTACCCAGACTATTAAGAATTGTGCCTTTCCTGAGTGTCACCATGATCCAGAGTCACATGGCACACGCTTCCCTAGACCGTTAAAGTAGAGGCTGACGGTCACGTGTCCCAGATCCTGAAGGAGAGAGCTTCTGCGTAAGGATGATGGATGACTTCGGTCCAAACAGACTGGAGAACTGTTCGCGCAGCCGGCTGAAGATAAGGACATGGGAAACTTGTGCGGTTTCTGGCTCACAGCATGGTGGGGAGCGTGGGAAGTGCTGGGTCTCGTGGGAAAGGAGGGCTCTGAGCTGAGGGGCTCTGAGCCCCACCCAGGGTTGAAAGGTTGTGAATCAAGACTTGCTCCTTCCAGCGTTAATTGTTGGGGCTTTCACCAAGGCACTACGTGGACGGGCCCGGGTCTGCTCGCTTACAGTGTTGGTGAACTCTGCAACACCGCCACTGTGGAAAGCAGTATGGAGACACGTCAAAAAATTAAAAATGGAAATGCCTTATTACCCAGCAATTCTACCTCTGGGAATTTATCCGAAGAAACCCAAAACACTAATTTGAAAGAACATAAGTGCCCTTACGTTCACTGCAGCATTATTTACAATCGCCAGCATATGGGAGCAGCCAAAGTGCCCATCCATAGAGGAGTGGATAAAACAACTAGGGGACATTTACACAATAGAATGCTACTCAGCCATAAAAAAAGAAGAAAATTTTATCCTGGTGACAGTGTGGATGGACCTGGAGAACATGATGCTACGGGAAAAAAGCCAGTCAGAGAAAGACAAATACCATGTGATCTCACTCATATGTGGACTCCAATGAACAAGCTGAACTAACAAGCAAAACAGAGACAGACTCATAGAGAGCAGGCTGACCTTTCTTGGGGTGGCGGGTGTTTAGAGGGTGGAGGGATTGAGTAAAAAGGAAAAAGGACTCATGAACTTCGACAACAGAGTGGTGATTATGGGATGGGGTCAATAGAAGGGGACCAAATGGTAATGGAGAAAATACAATAAAAAAGTGAATACCTACATACATACAGAAAGCTACCCCCTCCCCCGTGAAAAAGACTCACAATGCTACAGAGATCTGATCGGATCCCTGGGGAGGAGAAGGGAAGGGCCGTAGGAGGAGATTACCCCGGGAAATGGTAAACAGCCTGAGAAGCTGAATGCCTCCAGAGTGCAACAAAAAGAGGCCAGAAGATTTAAAATGAAAGGAGGGCAGAGACTGGCTCTCTGGCTCGCTTCCTCTGGGACGCCTAGGAGATCACGCAGCAGCGGCCTGCGTTTCCCAAAGGACGGTGTTCTGGGCAGGAGAAGAAACTCGGCGCAGCCTAGGATCGGGCTAGTCTGGCAGGGTTGTGCTTCTCTGGGTGTTCTAGAGGTGACAGGCTCAGAGGCAGAGGCCTGCCATTCTTCCAAAATTGTGCAGCTTTTGTATCTTGTGTTGTTGTAGTTTATAAACTAATCCAATAGAAACAAGATCATTAAAAACTAATGAAGGAATGATTGGGGAACTCCTGAGTTAGAGAGTTTAACCTTAATTGATAGGCTTACGTAATTAAAGCTGTAACTAAAGAGTTACAGATTTTAGCCTTAATTGATAGGCTTAACTAACTAATGCAAGGGGAAAGCTGTTATTCCGAAATTGTCTAGCTTTTGAATAAAGAGTTCTTTCCTTTATTACCCAACCTTTACCCCTGGGATTTTGTATAGACCGTGGCAGTGGGCAGCGGGACTCCACTGGCTGTTTGGTAACAAACAGCAGGTCAGGAAGCTACTACTCACTGCTTTGCTGTATGAATTATGGAAGTACACAGACAAATGAATCTAAAAAGTAAGCGGGGAATGCATGAAGCAGGAACCCCGAATTTTCAAGAATGTCTTAGAGAGAATAAACCACAGTTCAAGCCTTAAAAATTTTCACTCAATAATTTTCTGGGATTTTATGTTTGGCCAGCTGACAGTAAGGACATAAAACCAGAGACAGTTTATTACTTACAAAGATAATAATTATAATCACTGGTATTTTTAAACACTGTATATGTCAATAATTCATTTAATTGCTCGTTATGCATGAATTCACTTAACCATCATAGCAACCTTATGAAAAAGGCATCATATTCTCTAGTTTACACTGAAAGGAAAGCAGCAGAGAGAAGCGCTATTCCCCACCCGTGGTTAGATGACAAGTAAGTGTTAGAACTGGGACTTGGATGCAGGTGCTTGAGGTCCTGAGGCCGCCTCTTTAGCCACTAAGCTCTGCGGGTCACCCATCCCTGCCTTCCTTTCCTCACAGGGAGGCCGGTGCCTGCGACCCATTGCCAGATCCAGCCACGCTCCTGCAGCCAAACTCTCCAGCCAGCTCAGGATCACCCCCCAAACTTTAGATGTCTTAGGTCCCAGGTCTTAAATTATGCTCCGTCTGCCTCTGACCCACTCAAAAGCACGGAGTGCTATTTGAAGGAAACGCCCTCCCTCTGTGTTGCCAGTCCATCTTCATTCCTCCCAACTCTCCGATCAATGACCGTGACCTTGATTCTATGTCCAGACCGCTGGATTTACCCTTTATTCCCGATGTTCTTGAGGTTTAAACACCAGCGTGCAGAGGACGCTAACCCAGCCTGTTCTTAGGAATTGCTACACCCTCTGCTGCCGGGCGAAGGTAGCTCTAAACCACTTTTCACAGAGCCCAAGTGTACCCCAGCCGTGGGGCCCCTTGTAGGAGGGGTGCGTACCCCCTTGGCTCCTTCATTCTGACTGGTTTTCTTCATTCAGACAAATGAGCCCAATGCCTGCTTCCTGGGAACCAAGCTGTAATAGGTCGTGTGATCCACAGACCTAACGGAACGACAGCAAACAAATGGTTGTATGGAAACATGTTTATTTATTATATATTTGCAGTTTCCCATCAGTTACAGATCCATCTGTGTGATGCATAATGTTATAAAGTTACATAATATGTATTTGCTTACTGTTCACTGTTTTCTTCTGGGTGTTTATCTGAGAAGGGGATAGAAAAACACCTACTCATCCTTCCTCATTAAAACAGATAAATGCACCTCCTTAGAAAGAAACATAACCAATCACCTGTCTCTCTCAGTCACCTGTCAGCTACATTAAATAGACTGCTACCAATAATACAAAATTATACAAAATAATAAATAATACAATAGTACTTAGTGCTATAAAATAAACTTAAGAGGGAGTACTAAATAATACAAGTTCCATTTTAGGAGACCAGATCATGAATAGGGTTGTAATGTTAGGATTGACAGTTGTCTGGGTTTTTCTGTGTTGATATTTAGTGCATGGTGTAGGTTGTTCAGGAAGACAGAATACATAGAAAAAGTCCCTAAGTCGTTGCTGCTAAGAGCAATTCTGAGGCTGATAGTTCCTACTACAAAATCCTGTGCAGAAACAGAACCTCCCAACTTTACGGGGAGGTGAATCTGCCAAAGAAGAGGATGGTCCTGGTGGGTTTGTGCATTATAAAGAAGAGGAAAGGGTGATCTACCACAAACTGCGGGCCCCCGTGGCCGGTTCTCCCTGTCATGATGGCCCCGGTGCCAGCAGTAGCTTCGGTGCCCTCCTCGTTGACATCCACGGTGGCTTGATGAAACACTTCGGACAGAAACAGGTCATCCTCTTCTGACATTCCTAAGAAATTGGCCTGGCCCTTGACGAAGGCATCGTTCATGCCCATGCTCCTGAGAATGGGTTTGAGTTCGTACTGCTCTTCTAATTTGAACTTCGGGAGGTACACCTCAACGTCATCCTCGGCCATCCTGTCCGTGCTGATCCACGTGTTGAGTTTGTCGTACGTTATTTCACGTTCCAGCTACAAGTCCAGAAATTTAAAAAAATAACCAGTGAGTGCTTAGAAAAGAAGGAAAACGACTTCTACGTGTATTGTTTAAAAATCAGGGACTGCTGATTTTTATCACCCACAGTGATACAATAATTTAACACACTGGTCAACTTTTTGCAAGAAGGGAACATTATGTTTTGAATGAAAGTTGCAGACACACCACACTTACTATCAACTGATTCACACACATCTGTAAGCAATTGCACACCATTTCCTAAGGTGTAGTCATGGTCATCATGAAAGGCAAGTTTAAGCCCAGAAGTCTAAAACATGTAAAGCTGGGCTGGCTTACCAACTCCAGGCCAGTGGACACATTCGCAATTTCATCTGGAAGCAGCAGGAACATGCTGACGTCTCCAGCGTAAGGGAGTTCTAGGATCTGAGTCTTTAGGTCTTCTATGTATCCAATGTTCAGCATCTCACGCAAGTACATCATCTGTACGGGCTTCTGTTGAGTCTAAAGTGATTGAAGAGTAAAATATGAAAGTTAATACTCAGATGTCAAGAGATTTACAGTTAGACATAAAAGAGAAGAGGTTCTGCTTTTGTGTTTAAAAAATCAACAAAATAAATTATTTGCATACAGTACTCTGGCCTTATCATCCTTTTCAACATTACACCCATTCCGGACAATAATAATACTCCTAAAACATTTGCTTAGTACCTATCATGGGCCAAGAACTCTACTAAATCTCATCGAATCCTTACAACAACCTTTTGAGTTGGATGTTATTGTTAACCAAGTTTTATTGATTCAAAAATGGAATTCATGGAACATACAGAAGGTTATAGCTAGTAAGTGGTAGGGCCTACATTTGAGTCTAGGATTTAAGCACAGGGTCCATGGTTTTTCACCATTACTCATATGACCTCATAAAATTACTGAGTGATATTCAGTAGCTTAAAAGAGTCAATCAACTGTCCGATATCCATAACTTATAACCAGCACATCCCATAGTGGCATCAATGACTGGTCTCTAGTCATTGTTTCTCCGTCTTGTCTAAGACTCTACAACACGCGCTGGGAAAATCTGTCTCATGGTCTCGTACCGAGTTCACGCGGAAAGGATAAAGCCCATTTAATTTCTTCTCAAAGGCAGTTTTCCATTTTCCTTTGAAGTAGACGGCATTCACCAGGACCATCCTGGTCTCTGAGTCTACGGAACCTTCGGGTAACAAGTTTGAAATTTTACCTACAAAATAAAAATGACCTATGTTTAGTTTTCCTTTACAGCCATTCCACACAATGCTGAAAGAGAAAATTCATGTGTCTCCAGTTAGGCATGTCATTTTTACTTTCACTCCTGTTCATCGTCACTTTTCCTGCCTCTTTTGTGGCAGCAGTGTGTCGGTATTTTACACTAGCGGTTTCAAAATCCAGAACGGAAATGAAGAAGTGAGATACATAGTTCACCTGCTTTCAGAGGAGCAAAAATCTTTCTAAATTCTATAGAACTTAGTTCATGTGCTTTTTTTTTCATTATGGGAGTTAAGAAACCAAGACACAAAACTATTGTTTGAAATGGTGTTTTAATCCCAGAAGTTAAGAAAATCATTTTGGGGTTTTTTTTGGGGGGGGGAGGTTTGTCCACAGTGGAAGAAGTGTCACAGTTATTTCAATACTGATATTTCCTATGTTTGAAAACAGCTGTCCTCTCTCACATTCTTTACTAATGAGATATTCAAAATCCAATTATTTGAGTACTGAACATGTCTTCTATTAACAGACCTCAATTAAAACACCACTCAGCTAAACAAGAATAAGGTTGCATTAACCAAAATAACTAAGGATGAATGAATTTTAAAGGATTAAGGGCTAAGTTCAAGGACAGTTTAAAAAAATAGATCAGAGTTTTCTAAGTGGGAAGAAGAACAGAAAACATTTCCTTGGTTTTACCTTTGGTTTCTGTCTCGACCCAGAAATTAATCTTTTTTCTGGCTCCTTCAGCACATTCTAGGAAGTCAACCTCCTGGGGTTCTGCAGAGTAATATTTCTTCGAGAGCTGCATGTATTCCTTTAAAGCAAGAAAAGTGCAGGAGGTTACGTAGAAGGTCTACTGAACATGCCTTGACGTAAGAGTAAATTACGGGCTTCCTGTCAAGACCGGGGGACCTGAGGTCAGGGTAGGGGTGGAAGCCGGATAGTGTGTTCAAAGAGGAGATAGTGCACAATATACACACACAGTGGACCCCCTTCCCTACGAGGAAGCTCCAACTCTCTTTGTCCTCTGGCTTGCTTCGCATTATAGACACTAAATCAGAGGGAGCTGGCTGCAGATAGTGGCTGTGGGAGTCAGTTCTGTTCTTCTTGACTTACAGCCCTGCAAGTGGGGCTTTTGCAGCAGCACCAATAGGAGAAGCACAGGGTCAGCTGCCACGACCAGGGCCTTAGGGAGCCTTAGGGAGCCTTGGAGAGCCCTGTGCAATTCTGACTCTCCCAGTGGGTATGAATGCTAGACAACAGCTTTGTAAGTGACCTCACTGCAGGTTCAGGGCCCTGCTGTTTCAATGACAGGGTTACTTACTTTCCTGAATCTCGCAGACTTCTCTCCAAACAGCTTATTGACACTTTCCAATACGTAACCCTCTGTGGATGTGTTGATGGCAGAGATGAGCGTGCTGAAGCCGGAGAGGATTGTGTCTTCAGCCTGTGCCTTGAACAGAAGGGAGGGGTCCTCTTTATGTAACACGGGAAGATATTTCTCAAGCAATGGCATTTTTTCCTATGCAACAATAAAATGCTGTATTACTATATACTTTTTTTCTGGTACTTTAGAGGAATCTCTGAGGAAATACTTTTGATGTGGCTATGGTGCTAAACTAATGAGGTAGTGTTTTCCTTGTTTCATATTTCACCTACGGACTGGATCTGACCATGAAGTAGCCAACATCCTAGAGGAAAGAGAAGCTCCTGTTACAGTCTCCTAAACTCGAAGGTCTCTAAGGAATTTTTATTGTATTAAAATGTTCCTTTACGAATGTGCTTTAAAAATTCATACAACTTTGAAAAGGACTTCTTTTATAATTAAGGGATAGTTGAGGCAGTGGGAAACACAGGTTTTAGAGAACCACAAAAGCAAAGGGGAATTCCAGTCTACAGCCCAACGTTTGTGAACACGATGCCAGACATGGGGGCCAGTCACAGCAGTAGACAGAGCCCTGCAGATGACTGCCAGCTGTCTCCAGACACCTGGTGAATGTCCATAGATGGGCCCTCTCCACCTCCACCTCCGCTAGACCATAATTCCCTGGGTAACAGCTGGAGGAAGCATCGGTGGTCCCAAGAAGGAAGCTACAGGAGTTGTTCTCCCATAACCTTACTCAGGAGTGTAATTATGGGAGGTGTCACCAGGAGAAGCTTATCTGTGTCCAGTTCCTATAATTTAGCTGGAGAGCTGGTGTTTAAGGAATGCAGTATTGAGAAAACATAATACTACTTGAGACAGAGAGATAGACAGAAAGATAATAGATGGATAGACAGAGGGCTAGGGGAGGGATATCTAAAGGTCCTTGGCCTCTTAGGAAGTCATTGAGCCTGACTTTCTCCATTCCTCAGCTCTTTGTCACTCCTTCCCCTGCCCCTCTGGAAGTCTGCATTCACGCATGCGTATTCCAGGAGCCTCCTCTGGCATGGTTTTAGAACAAATCACACAAACCCAACCAGCGACAGAGGGGTGTCACAGAATTTTGAAAGAATCTTGGCCTCAAAGTCAGGAAGTCTAGATTCTGCTCTGGCTTTGTTCTTTCTTAGTGGTGGAACCACAGAATATTTCCTTAAGGACTGTGAACCTTTGTTTTTCTTTCTGGGAATGGGGGAGTTGTACTGGGTTCCCTCTCAGTCTAAGGTTGTGACTTCAGAAGATTCTACAAATAACACACAAAACCAATATGAGCGAATAAGTCCAATACCTTCAAAATAGCGTCAGGATAAGTGGCTCTCTGGATCTGCTGCATGAATGGGCAACCGGTGACGTTCTCTGGGCTCACTGCGGTGACTGCCCCGACTCCGATGTTGCTGAACTGAAGCACCTACAACGGGAATTAGAGGGAATGGTGATACACTCCTGCTAAATTACTCAACTTTTAAATTGCTGCCAACAGGTTCCTCTTAGAAGTTCTATGTCCAGTTCCCTGCCCTCATGTATGGGGTACAAGCATAGGTACTTTTTCTATGTAATATATAAGCATCAGCCAACTGAAATTTCCCTCGCAGCAGTCAGTGTGAGGTATCTATACTAGTCTGTATACTAGTCACTAGTCTCTAGGCTCAGGGAGCTTGAATGCCTTCACTCACACACCTCGTTGAAGTGGCAAAGCCACCAAACACAGATAGGAGGTCTTGTCCCCAAAGCGTGTGCTTCTCCCTCCAAGCCAAAGATTTTTTTCTTGAGTTTTAGTAGGGAACTGAGTAAATTTGTTTTTGAATTTTATTTATTTTTTTAAAGATTTTACTTAGCCATTTCTAGATAGAGGAGAAGGGAGGGAGAAAGAGAGGGAGAGAAACATCCATGTGTGATTGCCACGCAAGTGTCCCCTACTGAGGAACTGGCCCACAACCCAGGCATGTGCCCTGAGTGGGAATTGAACTGGCAACCCTTTGGTTCACAGGCCGGCACTCTATCCACTGAGCCACACCAGTCAGGGCTGCTTCTGAATTTTAAAATGTATACATGCAGCAGAGTTACAAGAAAACATTACAAAACCTTTGCATAGTCCCACATGCTCTAGCCCTTTCCAGAGACAGAGAAGGTTTATTGTGCCCAGAGTGAACCATAAGCTACTTTATTTAATTTCAGCAACCTAGAGTGCTTCATTCAGCATTTGCCCTCAAAATAAAATGCTTCTGAGTGCTAGTGATTTCTTTACATTTAAAAAATTAAGACCCTGATGTTTTCTAAAGTTTCAGTGCAGGTCATGGTCTTTTTCAAGGCAAAGAAAATAAAGGGGAAGGAAGGTTGCAAAAGGTTGTTGGTGTCAGGATTGAACAACTGACTATCGTTACCAGTCTTGATGTTTAAACTGCCACATACAAGGAGCAATGCATCCATCCCCTTCCTCCTGCGAGGACATTGGCCAACACTCTCTCCTTCAAAAAGGCCCATCCTGCATGGGTCCCCTTGGACCTGGGAAGGGCAGATATGCACCGAGGTACAAGGCTCACGGGAAACCTGAAAGTAGCCAGCGGCATTTTGGTGTGACCGAAAGTACAAGGCGTGCCTGTAAGAAACCAGAGCGATCCCATGGTAACGTTCGTGTGCATGTGTACAGGAAAGAATTTCATTACAGGGCGACCTCGTCCGGGTCTCTGACCCAGGAAATAACAGAATCCCGTGGATCTTCAATGGGTTGAATTCGCCTCCTGGGAATATCGCCCTGTGCGGTTGAACTAGCCCAGTGTAATTTCAGGACCCTGCACTCAGTGAAAGGGTCCCCCGTCTGCGCTTGTGTCATTTCCCGGGAGGAGGCCAGCTGCCCACACCCTGTCCATCTGGATTTCAAAAGCTGACCATCAGGTCAGGCCTCATTTTGTTGACATGATCTCACGGGGCTGATGACGTGGGCGAGTTGTCACTGGTCTCCGTGTGTCTGCAAGAGCAGAGTCTCCACGGCTCTGGAACATGCTTTTCTCTGTGCGACACTCCCTTAAACCCATTAGGAGGAATTCTCTCACGAACGGGGAGCAAACACAGCGCACAGGCTGAGCCATGGAAGGCGTCTGACCTAGCAGTGAGGGCAGCTTAGGAGGCCCGGAAAAGGCCTTCCCCTCCCACGGCCCACCTTCCCGCCTGCAAAATGGCACTTGTCTTAAAGCCAAAAGTGTTATAAGGCAGGTAAGACACTTTAAAAACATAAACATTATATTATTACGATGTAAAATGTGGTCACTGTTCCTCACGTCCAGCCCTGCTGTGTCAGAAACTCCTATCAGCTTTTGCTGTCTCGCGTCGGTGGTTTGTGATCTGGGTCTTTGGCTGACTTGAATCTGAGGAACTTGTGTTGTAATGGCAGGACAGGTGATGTCGCCACACCTGGGCGGGTGATGAAGGCTGACCTTGAGATAGGCGAGATATCTCGAGCACGCGATCAGAGCGGTTCGGCGGCTCAGCTCAGGAGTCGCGCGGCCCTCGTGTGGGGCTCCCACAGAAACTCACCCTGGCCATCTGCTCTGAGGTGTTGCCTCTGGCCCCCATGTAGACCATGACCATGGTGGATGAGATGCCCCACGGGGAGAAGAAGAGGTTCTGGGTGGGGCTCGTGCTTGCCAGCTGCTTGAAGAAATTGATGGCAAAGATGGTGTTTGCCACATAAATGTCTTCCATCATGTCAACCTAGAGGGAAAGGAAGGAAGGAAATACAGCTCTAAAAGATGAAACAGCATTTTGGGTGATGTCAGCAGAGGGGTACAGGGGTACAGCCTTGCTACAAAAGAGCTTCTTATGCTGAGAAGTTCATTTCTTGGAGTGCTGGGAAGGTCCCTTCCTGTCCTGCCACATGCTGGCAGGAAAGCCAGTGCCAGGTAGCACCACAGGACTGATTCTGGGTATATCTCTCACACTCACACACACACACACACACACACACACACACACCCCAGATCACCCGTCTGAACAAACACAGCAGACACACCTCCCATGGCCAAAGGCTTCACGTGCAGCCAAATGCTCGGACACACCCAGGTGGGTGGAGGTATCTGTTGGTCCTGGCCACTGATTGCCTTCCCCTCTGTATGTTATGCTTTCGTATTGGCTTAAACACACCCTACAGTTACCAGAGTACACAAATATACCAAACGATGCTGACACTCATGATTCCACAGCAAAACTTCTTGTGAAGGTGGTTTCCCAGGGCTGGGGAGCAGCTGGGGGAGCTGCGGAGGCCCCCCGGCTGAGGCACGCCCTGAGCCCTCGTCTAGGCTTGCTGGGCACGGCTTCCCCCCAGCCGGCCCTCACCTCCCCGCCTAATCTGTGGATGTCTTATGTGAACACGTGGGTCATGAACATTTCCTTTTAAGACAGCGATCTCAATTTGTATCAAAATTTCTCCTTTGAGATACCACCCTACTGTGTTTTATCCAGACAAACTAGTACATTAAGTAAAACGTCTCTCTGAAACTTTCTCACGTCTTCTCATTCGATCTTCATGAGGTCTCTAGGAGATACATACTGTCATCTTCATTAAAAGGGCAGGTTTCACACTGACGCTCAGAGAGGTCAGCTACCTTGTGTAAGGTCAGCGTGACGTGACGGTGCAGGGATGCAAGCCCAGGTCTGCTTCAGAAAGCCGCTCTATCCAGCGCCCCACACTGCCCCCACGCCGGTGTTGACCTTGACTCTGATGCGTAAGGGATTACGCAAGTTACTAGTTTGAGAAATGCTAGAAAAAGAAAATAAAAAGAGGAAGATTGCAAGTCTTTCATGCTCCAAGAAGGCCTTTTAAGTTTAAAAAAAAAAAAGACTACGTTTTTTCTCTTGCTTCGTCGCTGAGATTAGGTTAACTTGAGTGGCTCGGAAGTGTGTTCCCTCTTCCTTCCACTGCTTTCCAATGGTCTTTTAAATTAATTAGTCTTATGCGGAAAATGTTTTTCGTAAAACATCTCAGTGTTTTGGAAACAAACTGAGAATGAATAAATAAAATATTTCTGTATTCCCACTTGAAAAAAGTCAGAGATCAGAACCGGAAGAGTAAATGCAAGCCTTGCTCGTAGCTGACTCTGCATGAGGACCTGCATGGTCCGTCACCCGGACACGAACAGAAGGGAGGGGTCACGACAAACTCTCAGACAGGGCTTCCAGTGCCGCGTTAGGGTTTCAGGTGACCGCACACGGGGGAAAAAAGAAGATAAGGACAAAATTAAATTGCCCCACATGCATTTCCTTCCTTTAAAAATAGTCTAAATTTCCTTTTTTAAAAAGAAGATACAATTAACTGCATGTAACATAAAAGTAATATCTGATGTCTATGTTGCAGTTACCAAATTTTTTCAACTGAGTTGTTTTGTTTAATCTGCATAATCACTCACCCAGTAAAGCCCAGTGATCCCTGTCATACAGACGAAATGATGGAGATGGAGATTGCACCCCTAATTAGTTCCGAAGCCTCAACTGAACCTCAGCCTTTGATTGAAAGTCTAGGGTTTTTCCTACGCACCTTCCAAATGAGGTTTAAGAAGTTTATAGCTTTAGGAATCTAATATATAGTGACAGGAGGTGGTTTGAATTTGGGCGGTGGTCACACAGTGCCATACATAGCTCTTGCATCACAGAAATGTGCACTTGAAACCTATATGATTCTATTAACCAATCTCACCCCAATGAACTCAATAAACATTTTTAAAAAATAAGAACTCTCTGGAGACACCCATATACAGTGTCCCCTGACCCTCAGACACGTCCGTGGCTTACATTTGCATGGGAATCTGCCCAAGACAATGTGAAGCTGAAGTCACAGAGGGGACACCGAAAGCATGACCACCCAGAACAGGGAGCACCTGTTCCGAGTTTCTTAACGAGAGTCAGTCACACACCTTCACTAACCCGTATGCTATGCTCGTAATTACTGTTTGCTCCGATCCTCGAGAAGAGAGGGTGGGAAGCACAGGCAGGGCTGGGCTCCTCGGGCGTGTGGCAATTCCTGCTGTGCGGGTTGACAGCTGTGCCACTGAAACTTGGCCCAGGCAGCCAAGGACCCGGGAGGGGCTGCTGGGGCCCTCTCCTCCCTAACACTCCATGCTAGATTCGAATTTGCTGCGGCGTTTAAACCAAATCATTTGTGACTACACAGTGCAAACGGTTTGATATTGACCACAAAAATCAATGAGAACGGAGAGAAAACAGTAAGTCCTAGGAAACTTTTTGTCCAAAATGACCACATTTCCGCTCCCCACCCCCGCCACGTGCACGCACACGCACACACACACACACACAGTGGAAAGCAGTTTCTGGTATTTGATGACTTTCTTGGTGAATAATTGTCGCTTATGGAGTACTAAATTATTTATTGAGCTATCACTTCACTCAGTGCAACAAGTTCGGCTGATTTTTCCCTTTCGCTAAATTCACCGATCAACTAAATTCAATACATACATTCTGGTATTGAGCTGACCTAACCTAGAAAACTGCTTAATTTCTGATTATTTTAGAAAAAAACCTCAGTTAACTTTTTTTAAATATTTGTATTCAATGGGTAGATTATTTCCCATTACTTAAAATAATATATTTAAAATATCCTAGCTATTCCCATTAAATTCAGTGTCCAAACACTAGCTAGTAAAGAACATACACATTCTAACCTCGTCAAGAAAACAGATATGGAAACTCTAATGTACATTTTGGTTTGGTTAATGTTGTGAAAGATTTGGCTAAATATTTAAGCATTGGCTGGCTTCCAAGATTCAAAATTAAGTCTTGCTATATACATTTAATTCAGATCTTGAGCTAAAATATATCCAGTCAAACAGCTAAACAAGACAACGCCACTAAACGCTCACTTACCCTCTAAAAACATCACACACTTGACATTTCATTCGTAACAACAGAACCACACTCTGTCAGTAAGAGCAGTGAGGAAGGAGGAGCAGCCACGAGGTCGCGCTGCCCAGGGACAGCCACAGAAATCTCTGAAATACCTGGTCGTCGCCGAGTGGCTCTCTGGCAGGAAACACACCCTCGAAGAGCTGTCGGGGTTCACACACGGTGATGACTGGTTTTATAAAGCTCGGCCCCTCCCACGGAGCATTTTTTTTTCTCTCTCTTTCTAATCTGAAAGCTTTGAGTGATTCAACATTTTACTCAGAACGGCATCACTAGGATAGAAATGCCTGTTTGCTGGGGAACCATTGAAGAAGTTCATCGGGACAGTGATGTCACTCAGAAACTTACCAATTTAGTAATTTCTACACACGCCTGTTGAAACGAGCTGAAGGCTGCCCACCCCACCTGCCCTGAAGATACCACCAAATTCTACAACTGCTCCGCTGTCTTTTTGACGGGGCTGCCCGTGGGCCTTTTTCCATACACAAAAGTATTGCACCCCTTTCTTCTTTTTGATTCTAGCAACTGCCAAGGGACCCTTTGGTCTTTGGGAAGAAAAAGAAAACCTTTTTTTCTTTGAAATTCTCTGCTTTAAAATCTTCCATTCTTCTCAAGCCATAATTGCCTGAAAAATTCTGGGTTCCACCCTCATCTCCCCAGCCACACCCAAAGCCCTTGGCTTTTGACCTTGTTTAGAACATAGATCTTATCTTACTAAACAGTGAAAATCCACAGTGTACTTTAAGTTGATATTTAACTCTGGGTAAATCATAGGTGTGTTGATTGAAAATTGTGATGTTGTACACTTCAATAAGAAAATGGCTAGATTTTTTTTTTAGACACAGCCAAAGGAATTGGAGGGACCAAAATAAATAAATAATATAAATGGAAATGCAGTTTGAGTCTGAAAGCATTCATGTTGTTAGAGCTTATTGAAAAGTGTTTGCAACACATTGTAAATATGGCTTCACTCCTCTGCCCTTTACCTTCATGCCCAGCCAGTCCCCAAGGCCAGGATGGAGAGAAGTGAGCGCGCCAGGCCCCTTCTCAGCCGGCGTGGGAAGCTCCACGTGTGTGGGGAGACCTGGGTTGGCAATCTGAGGTGTCAGTGAAGCCGGGACTGCGGAACTGGGTCCTGGGTGATCGTCTCAGCTGGGCTGTGGTCCACGGAGCCAGGGTCATCCTTCCCTTCTCTTGCTACTGTGAGTTTCTGGTCAAAAATATCTGCGGTTACTTAACCCAAACCTCTCATTATTACTAGAGGGACAACGGCAAAGGTGTGGTATTCAGAACTTTGTCTAACCATCAACAGCCAAATTACAGTCATGTGCCTCTTTAAGGATGAGGGTAAGATCTAAGAAATGCATCACCGGGTGACTTCATCGTTGAGCAAACACCACGGAGCACACTACACAGACCTAGAGAGCAGAGCCTGCCGCTCACCTGGTCTGTGTGGTACAGCCTCCTGCTTCTCCACTGCACACCTGGGCAAAAAAGCACGGGGTCAAATCCAGAAGAGAAGATGATGCCACCAGGACATGGAGTGTGTGAGGTCGCTGCAATGTGACACAGCGACTGTTTCATGGCAGACCTGTCCTTTGAAGTAAAAAGGGTACATTTCAAATAACAATAAAAATATACTATAGGTACATAAACCAATAACATAGTTGTGTATTGTCATTATCAAGTCGTATGTATGTATGGAGGTACATACTTGTGCACTATACTTTCATACGACTGGTGGCAGAGCATGTTTGCTCATGCTAGTGTTGACACAGACATGTGAGAAATGTGCTTCACCACATGGCTACCATGTCACTGGGTGGTGGGAATTTTCCAGCTCCATTTATAATCCTATGGGACCACCGTCGTGTATGCGGTCCATCATTGACCGAGATGCTGGTATGCAGCACGTGGCCGTATATGAGTGCTTAATTGCTGGAAGATCTCGGGTCACACAAAGAAAAAGAGCTGGGAAGTCCACCCTCAACAATGATCTTTCAACAACTAAGTTTCTTCATTAGACCAAAGGAAACGTGTAGGCAGCCATTGACCATTTTACAAGCTTTAATGTCCCGTGGACCCCGGCCAGTTCTCTGCATCAGTGAGCGCTGAGTAGACGCCCTTCCTTGGTGGCCTAGGTCTCTGTCCCTTACCTACCTCAGTTCCCTGGAGGACCCCCGCTGGCAATGTCCATGTGACCAGTCTGTTCAACGGTTCCCTAACCACACTTTGGCAGCAACGCAGTCTGCTGAGCCAATAGCTAGCGTGCCTAGAGCTTTGCTTTGCCCACTTTTCAGGCCCTGCTTTTTCTATCGCTTGCTTTTACTCAAGCTCTTCTTCTCCAAGGGAATGCCACCCTTTCTCCTCCCTCCCGACCCAAATCTCCTACCTCACAGCTTTTGTGACATCCAGCCTGACTTCTGCAATCCTTGGTGAACTTCTGCAACTTAGAACTGCCCTCTGAGAGCTGAGCTTGCAGTATAATAACGTAGTATTAATTCCAGTCATGTTATCTGAGTTGGGATTCTGTTTCTAACTAGAGTCTACACTTATTTCCCCTTCAGCAGCAAGAACAGTGCTGAGCATCAATGGGTACTTACTAAAGATTTTTGATGACTTGAGTAAGATGTTAAAATGCTTCAGAAGGGCTCTAGAGCGTGGCAAACTAGATTTTGAGAGACTCCGAAAAGTCTGATTTGAAATTTCCCTCTCTTTCTTATTTCATCCTCACCTGAGGACATCTTTTTGTTGCTTTTAGAGAAAGGGGGAGAAAGAGAGAGAGAGAGAGAGAAATGTCAATCAGTTGCCTTTCCATATGTGCTCTGACTGGGACTTGAACCTGAGACCTTTATGTCTGTGGGATGATGCTCCAACCAACTGAGCCACAGCAAGGGCTGAAATATTCTCTCTCTCTCTCCCTCTCTCTCTCTCTCTCTCTCTCTCTCTCTCTCTCTCTCTCTCTCTCTCTCTCTCTCTCTCTCTCTCTCTCTCTCTCTCTCTCCCCTCACTCTCCTTTGTCTTCTCTCTTTCACCACTTTTCAGTTGTATAATCCCGCACAAATTTCTCAACCTCTCTGACCTTTAACTTCCTAATAATGCTATATGGCTGGTACTGCTCATTGCCTACGCAAAAGCCATCCATTTTTTCTATCCTTCCCGATTTTGTTTAGGTATTATTCAGAGGTTCCTTGATCTTAGGAAAGGAGAACCTAGTTGCTGGTCTGAGGGGGTAGCTGTGTAACCCAGTCCGGTAAATGAGGTGTGGGAGTCTGCCGGGAAATGTTTGGGGAAAGTTTTGCTTCCCAATAAGAGACATGCAAAGAGAAACTCCTTGTCCTACGCCATGCCTTCCTACCTGACTTTGAGCATGGTCGTCTGAGGATGTGATGCCGGGAGATGCTACAGCCCCATGGCAACAATGGAAGAAGGCGAAGGTGTTTGAAGAGAAGCCAAACCAGGGCCCTGACATGAGAGAACTTCTAAGCCAAAGTGGAAACCACCCACCTCCAGCTTTTGTCCTCATTACAGCAGATAAGAAATAATAAGTGTGCATTGTTTAGGCATTGTTAGACACTTTGGGTCCTCTGTCATTTGCAGCTGAAAGCATTCCTAAATGACACAGACTTCTGTGAAGAATAGATGAGATAATGCCTGTTAAGTACGAGGCATATTATCGTTCATTTACTGAATGCTCCACAGTGTTGGGGGTGTAGCAGAATGACGGTTGGCGGCCAGATGTAGGAGTTGCCTTCCTGCCTAGATTAGAGAAACTGTATGAGCTCAGCGGGAGATGTTTGCACACTAATCAATCAGATGCAGTTGTAAAAGGCAATATATGATTAAGAGCTAAATTGAGTGGTGCCAATGGTGTGTCGTATGCCCTAGGAAGAAGGGGAAAGGGACTGAGAAATGTGTGGTAGGACTTCAAAAAAAAAAGGTCAAGACAAGTGACGAAAATTGAATATTGAAAGGGGAAGGCACTAAAATTACAGAAGTGGGAAGGAGAGCTCGCTGAGTGGCTGGCTGACGTCTGCCTGGGGCAGGGACAGGGTGATAAGGGAGGGGGAGGAAAGGGACAGACAGTATCTCCCAGAGGGGCCGCTGATTCCAGCCTGAGCTAAGATGCAATCTGAAGTCTGCCTGCGGCAAACTCTAGAGAAGGGAAGTGACTTGCAAAAAGCGGTGTTTTAACCATACACCAAAATAAACTCAGGATGAATAAAAGACTTAAATGTAAGTCACGACACCATAAAAGTACTAGAGGGAAACATGGGCAGTAAAATGTCAGGTATCTCATGCAACAAGATCTTTGCTGATATATCTCCGAGGGCAAGGGATATAAAGGAAAGAATGGACAAATGGGACTACATCAAATTCAAAAGCTTCTGCACAGCTAAAGAAAACATCAGCAAAATGAAAAGGAAACCCACTGTATGGGAAAACATGTTTGCTGATGATACCTCGGACAAGGATTTGATCTCCAAAATACAGGGTCTGGCACCAGTTATGCTCCTTTTTATTATAAAATCATAGGTATGTAATTCTGTAACATAACAATAGCACACTCAAGCACACCATATGACATTTTAGGTAAATGTTCAAATTAAAAATATACATTATTGCATTCATATTAGTACCCTACCAACCACACTCCAGCAGGCCTTACTTCTGCTGGACCCTGTCTGTGAAGAACCATATGACCAAACACCAGGAAGATAAACAATCCAATTCAAAAGTGGGACAAAGGACCTGAACAGACACTTCTGCAAGGAGGGCATACAGAGGGCCCACAGACATATGAAAGAATGTTCAACATCACTAGCCATCAGAGAGATGCAATTAAAACCACAATGAGATACCACTTCACACTGTCTGGATGGCCATCATAAACAAATCAACAAACAAGTGCTGGAGAGGATGTGGAGAAAAGAAAACCCTAGTGCACTGTTGGTGGGAATGCAGACTGGTCTGTATGGAATTTCCCCAGAAAGCTAAAAATTGAACTGCCTTTTGATCCAGTGATTCCATTGCTGGTATTATACCCTAAGAATCCTGAAACACCAGTTCAAAAGAAGCTGTGAACCCCAGTGTCCATAGCAGTGGAATCACTTGGCTATTGGCCTATT